CTGATAAGGGAAGCGCTACAGTAGTTTGGGAGAAATCTGATTATATAAAGAAAGTGACTGAACACATTGAAACGGGTCCATATGAAGAAATTCAGAAGCCTGTAGATATAGTAATCAATGAGATTAAGAAATCTACAGCGGATTTAATACGTAGTAGGAAGCTGTCACTGGCTGAGTTTAAATGGTTTAATTGAATGCCTACAACTAATAAGGCCAGTAGAATATATGGTAGGATAAAAATACATAAACCAGGTTTCCCCATAAGACCAATAGTAGATTTCAGAAATACGCCGACGTATGAATTATCAAAACAATTAGTTCTATTACTGTGTCCCACTAGAAATCATTCAAACTCTAGGCTAACTAATTCATGTTGAATGAAAAAGAAACTAAATTACATTCAATTAAAGAATAATGAAAAATGATCAGTTTTGATATAACTAGTCTGTACACTAACGTACCTATCAATATGTCTTTAGAAGCAGTTAAAAGGGAACTAATTTCTGATCCCGAACTTAGGCATAGGACAAAGCTGTCCATTGAGAAAATTATTTTAGGAATTCAGTTATGCCTCACAACTGCTATCTTTAAATTCCAGAGCAAAATATATAAACGAACATACGGTGTAACAATGGGATCACCAATATCCCCTATCATAGGAGACATATTTATGGACAGCTGGGAGAATATTGCTCTAAGTAAATTTAATCCTACTCAAAAAATATGGTGGAGATATGTGGACGACACTTTCACAGTGTTAAAAACAGAGCATATCTCTAGCTTCTTGACACACATAAACTCACTAGTAGATGGAATAAAATTCACATTTGAATCGGAAGATGAACAAGGAGAATTAGCTATGTTAGATTGTAAAATGAAACGAATAGAAAAGGGTAAACTTCAAGCTAGTGTTGATAAAAAACCAACGCATTCTAATAGATACTTAGACTTTAATTCGTCTCATCCGTTGTCTGTAGAGGGCAGGCTTAGTTAAGCGTCTAACAAACCGAGCAGTAGCAATAAGTAGCACAAAGAAGACCTAAATGATGAAATGAAACAGATAGAAGAGGCGTTGGTGTTGAATAACTATCCTATAAAATTCATTAGGAATATCAAAAAAGTTCAAAAGCAAAACAAAAATAATGTTGAAACTAATAATGCAAACATAAATAAGAAAGAATATAAGGCATCTACAGTTTTACCATATGTGGAGGGGACATCTGACACTCTTTGTAGGATTCTCAATAAAGCAGGAATCAGGGTGGCATTCAAAGCATACAAATTCACTCAGAGACAGGCTCTGTAGGCTAAAGGACCCTATCGATCGACCCAGTTAGACAAAATAACATAATTTACAAAATACCCTGCAATGACTGTGCGTTAGGTCAACTATGTAGGTTAAACTAGTAGATCAGGAGTAGTGAGATTATCAGAACATAAGAATTTAGCTAAGGGGAGAATGACTGATCCCAAGAAGATGAGTAATTTAAAAACTCAGCAGTCGCACTGCATGCGTTAACACACAACCACACAATAGGGTGGGACAGCGTCAAAATTCTAAAGAGTAATATAGGTAGGTGGAGAGAGAGATTGATTACTGAATCCTGTTTCATTGAGTCTGTACCCAACACATACAACAGAAATGACTCAGTGCAAATACCAGAAATATGGAAGATATTATTACCGCCGGTCAAATCAGGGGAGGATAATAAATAATCTTAAAATTCTGTTTCAATTCAAGCACATCATAACATTCTAACAAGTTACTTATTTTGGCTATAAAGACACTCATCCTATTTCCCATCTGATTGTATTTGATCAATGACACTCATATTATTATTTCTGAATGTACATTATCTCATATTGATATTTATTTAAATATCTGATCAATTCCAGAAATGTATATAAATGAAGAAAAAAAGTTGTGTGAGTAACTTGATAGGATTATGAGCAATAGTTTGTGCTCAAAACGCCATGATTTAATATTACTGTACAACACTATCAAAATAAAATCTTATCCATAATGGAGTTATACTCTACCACAGTGTCCAAGTTTTATACTTATATCAAGAACGATAGAGTCTTTTGAGTTGAGGATACTAAAGGCTTGCATTTTCTTTCAAGCATAGTAGTCGATAAAATAATATTATATGAGATGCACTTGTCAGCTCTCAGGTGTGTAACACTGTTTCGATACAAGTATGTATCAATTGATCCATCTGACCTTTCGATGATGCTAGTGTATATATAGAAAGCTTGAAATACTATTCCAATATATTATGTTGCCCTGGAAAATTTGTTGTTCAAGTATTACTTTGATTTCAGTTGTTATCCCAATAATAACACTCTCTTAGCAGCGTTTCAGAGAGTTAGGTGAACAAAATGATTGTTTTACGTCGATCACTGAACTACTAGCCATATTTATGATTTGAGTTCTATATTAATTAATAGCCAGTAATCAAAACTGAGATACGATAGCATTGGCTAGTCCAATGAAGTGATCATATTAACTGTAGTGAGCCATTGCACTTAAAATTTCTCATGAGAACTGACTACATACGCCGGGTCACTGCATTTCACATACCAGTGTAACAGAAAATGTATGCTAAATTTGGAAGCCACTAATACTTAAAATTATTTACCGAAATAGTATGAGAAATTATTGTGTAGCTCCGCATAACATTGGTTATCGTGCAGTTAACGAGAAACTTCAAGACCTCCGTGTGCAAAACTATTGAAGAACTGACGAGGAAATCCTACTTAGTATTAGCTCTTCACTAAGGAGTTTCACAGAAATATGATCAAATAGAAATTTTCGTCATCTTCACATCTGCTCGTTTACGCATATTACACAGGTGTGCTGACCAACAAGGCTGAAATATGTTCGCAATATAGTCAACCTATATAAATTAGTTTAAAAGGCAGTTATATGACTGATCCAAAATTTAGAATCAGTCAATCACCTCGTCAACTGCTGATTTCACATGTTTGAGGACTAAGTATACTTATGAAGATTCATTAGTAATTTATTCTACCTAAACCTTGAAAGTTAAAGGGTGATATGGAGGAGATAGTGGGAGCAGAAGATGAAGGCTTATGGGAAATCGGGCGGACAAGCTGAAGAGGACTGCAGAGAACAGGACAAAATAGGGACGCGCTGATAAAGCTCTACTTTCCACTCGGAACCCATGGGAATAATAATGAACCTTGAAAGTGCGATTATAATAAAACTGTTTTTCTCCTTGGTACTATTTTTGAAAGGTGTATGCTGTTATTAATCGTGAGTCCTAACGAACACGGTAACTTGATCATACTGAACTTCCTGCTAACTGACTTTGAACATCTGATTAAACATAATGTTTTCCCTCTATTTAGACAAACAGATGTTTCCGACTTATTTATTTTCCTGAATGTAACCGAATACCACTGATCAGTCTGGCTATAGTGAGATGTTCTGCGCTTGATCTCAGCTCAAGCAAACTCTATATACCTTGTTTACATAAATACAATTAGTTATAAATGACACGTCAAATGCGTTTTCTAAAGTGACCTGTTGCTCATATATGAAATGTCCTTTGACGGCTCTATCATATCCAAGTGTAATACTGATATCGTGGAAAATATCCATCGGGACATTAGAGGGAAAAGAACAAGAAGTTCAGCAAAGATATCTTTTCGGCGATTTCATTCTCAAAAGCTGTACAATCGCATTTATATACATAAGTTTACATGGATACAATTATTATTTATTTAATTCCACATAGTAACGAAGGAGATAATAATTTTCAACTTGATATGAAAGTTTGAAGGTACGAATATAGATTACAAGGGGTTTAGAGACAAGATTACATAGGATTAGAAAACAGTTACAACGTATGCAAAATTAATATTTGATAACTGGAGAAATAATTTTGAAGGCGAATAAAAGGTGACAATTATTTTCAACTTGATATGAATTACAAGAGGCTTAGAAACAAAAATTACGCAGGGACAGAACGAATTACAGGTGTGAACAAAATGAGCATGGAAACAAAGTGAAACCAAAATTTTCAACTTGAAAGTAAGTTAGGAGGTGTGAATATAGATTACAAGAGGCATAGAGACAGAAAATTATACAGGATTAGGATATAATTGCAAAGTTGTTATTCTAAGCGGATTACAAGTGTGATCAGGAGGAGCATGGAAACAAAAATAAAAATTTAAAATAACTGATGCATATGAAAAGAGCTTCTGCATTACAAAGAAGTCGAAAACACACTGCCTTTGGTAGATTTTTTATTTACTTTGTAAATGACTCTGAATTATGAGTCAGTTGAGATGCTGTGACAGGTATTGACGAGGTGTTCAGTTATGGCGCCTCTGATTAAACCAGTGCCTCTTCTTTGCAGCCAGGCTGGATGATGTTCTCCAACATGTTTTGATAGCACCCGCATAGAACGACCTATGTACCTAGCTCCACACGAGCAGGTGAACTGACATATGCACATTGAAGTGGTCATATGCGGAAGTCTGTCCTTCCCGTTTCTCCGAAGTAGTGGGCGGCTAGAGAATATCACTCTTAGTGTTGCTGCAGGAAAAGTCTTCTTCAGGGAATTGGAGATTCTCCTTTTAAGGATATCTGCCTCTAGGTCTTCTCTGAATTCCAGATTCAAATAAAGTGTTTTCTTTGGCACTGAAGTGCATTCTTCTCCTTTTGGCTTTGGTTTCATGTTCTTCTCTACGAAACGCGGTGGGTGCTTTTGAGAAATAAGAGCTCTTCTTCTAAACAGTCATCGCTACAAATTCTTTTGGTACGGTGGGCTTGTGAGAGCTATTTTACGGCTGATAGGTATCCAACTGTAGAAGAATGAATGAGAAAGAAGTCGCCGAAAAGATACCTTTGCTGAACTTCTTGTTCTTTTCCTTCTAATACTGATATGTCTAATGAACGAACTATAATGAAATTACAAATTACTGTGGTGGGTATAGTAATGCATGCCATTATTTGTCTTTCTTTTTAGATATATGCGTCTTTACACCTAAAGGTGATGTGACAAAGACACAGAAAAGCCAAAAGCATTCGTCCAGAACAGACAACAGAAGGACAATACAGAAATCAAATATTACAAGGACTGATCAAAAGAATGCAAGACCACGTACTTCTAGCTCAGTTAATAACAAAGTGTCATCCTGTGGACTAAACGATAAAGACAGAGAAAATGCTATTAAAGTGAGTAGAGGCAGAAAGCTTCGTAATTAGGGGGACGGATAAAACTCAAACAAAGTAGCATCATAATTACTGAGAAGATTGACATGTTGTGCAATTGGGGGGTTAGAAATGTAGAAATAAAAAAGATAGACAGGATGTTTGGATAAAAATTCTAGTGGGATCATAATTAATGGTCATTACTAAAAGAATTCAGAAATGACCATCCCATTGCCTTTTTTATCCAAACTTCCTGTTTATTCATGTTATTTTATTATTTCTACATATTTAATCCCTGCTTAGTAATTAATTATACCACTGAATCACACAATTCGATACAATCTAACTGATGACAGTGTGAAAATAACCATTCTGGAGACACTAGCTCGAGCTAGGTCATAGGGCTTATGTGGTGAATGTGCTGACATCTAGTAAACGGGCTGGCGGCAAATTAGAAGCTTTATTAAGTCAGTTAAAAAGAAAACACAAAAGTGATGCTGAGCGCTTCGACATTTCATTTCGTTGGAAAAGAAGACAATAAACACATCCCATTTACTGGTTTTCTTTTCCCAAATATTGAAACAAACTGATAGCTCTATGGGTGTGATTATAGGCAGACTAGCCTTGTTTCTGATCATATTTTGCTTTCATATCAATGGCTTTACTATCCACTTCAAACAGTCAGTGAGAGTACAATACTGAAAACTTCCAAATAGTGACAAAACAATAAAGCAGCGTCTTTTGACTGTTAATGACTATCTAACCAACGTTGATTTGTGACTCAGTAGTTGTACCAAATATTCAGGGTGTTCTTTAGTGAATGAATTGTCATTTAGTTTGTGCGCTTGTTATCAGTCAGAATGAGTTCACTTAGGAAGAACAAGAATTGAAATTATTGTATTGGGATGTAATCCGGATATAAACCTAACAGAACAATTAATTCTGGAAAGCGCACTTACAAAAAGTAAAACATTAGTTGCTGCTATATTTAAATATCTGATTTGTACACAGGAACGACTTCTTGGTGTGCATATGGCAATTATATCTGAATAATCACATACCATTATGCATAGCGCTGGACAAAATTGACTAAGCGCTCCAAACGAGTGAAACTGCCGTTCGCTGTTTAGATCACCTTGATCTCGGTAGCAAGCTTAGCTAGGTGATGTGAATGGTAAGCAACAACTCATTTCAATCAATGATTTGTATATATACAGAACCATATAAAATTAACTAATGGTTGGTTGAAGACTTCATTCGCGCACAAAGCACAAGTTAGATTGTGCTTATTGGTATTAACGATGGAAGGTTGTGCGTTTCCACTCTACTTCTAAAAACAATAGTTATTTTACTTATTTAAACAAACTAGGTACGATATAGACAGCAAGAGATACGGCGAAATAGATAGATTGGGGGACACATAAAGGAGTTGATGCAATCGTTGTTGTGCAAAGTTTAACAAAACCACACCTCAACAGATTGAAATTCTTTAGGCCTAAATTTTGAGACCGCACAAATTCCATGCACTTCTTTTTACATGTAGGCTTGGCATCAAGCTAAAAACAGAGAATACTTGAAAAGGAAAATAGAAGAGTCTGAAAAACGCAAAAGAGAAGAAGAATATGCCCGTAAAAAAGAGGTAAGGAAAATTACTGTGAGTAGAAACAACACTTTCCCACCGAAGTATTTAGATTCTCATGCAGTATTGTTCTGAATTTTTGCGTAAATTAGATTGAAAACCAAAAGATACGTGAGAAAAAATTCACAGACTGGTTAAGAAATAAATCTTTACAAAAACGTTATGAAGAAGAAATGAGACGACGTGAAAATGAAGAACGAAATTATCTAACTGTTGTACATTCTAGAAAAGCGTGTGAGAAGGCATTTAAACAGTAAGTCAAAAAAAATACCAAGTTTTTGACTATTTCCGTAAAACAAGTGAGTATAGTTTTGTACTAGCAGAAGTGCAAGAATTAATGAGTATACATAAACAAATATACATAAGAAAATAAATAAATAACCAGCAGATTGTGACCACATTAACATGACAAGATTGATTTAAGCTATGTTCTAGTTTTGGCAATTTCTGCCTTACCAAATAATACATGACCATAGAAATCCCTTCTTTTGTATACGTGTATTCGGTTGGATTTAAAAAACTCAAACTTATTAATGTAAACTAATGACCAGAGACTGTTAATGACAGATGCATTCACTGTTTGTGAAATTGTAGATTAAAAAAATCGTTTCTCTAGTACATTCTCTCATCTATTATACTTTCTTCGTATTTCCTTTTATCTTACAGTTACGTGGGCTTATTTTTATCAAGCGTGACAAGTTGAACTGCTATGCTAAAAATTCATTTCAGTTCATACCGAATTCAGACATTTAAACTGACTTTTCTTTACTGCTTTTCACAGTCAAATGACTCCGGAGTATCGTGAAATGACTGAATACGCCAATATCAGTAGGCTGACGTAAACTGACTTATAGTTTATGCAAATCAAATTACTTTCTAAATCTAAAGAAGTACCCAAACGCCTACTGAATAGTAGAAATAATGCGTACTACAATATTTTTTCTAGGAAGTGTGGCAGCTAAAACCAGTAGGCATCTGCACAACGCTGTGTGCTAACTATCTGTTTTTAAAGTATATCAAAACATAAAGTGAAACTTTTTTTTCTTGTTAGGTGGCTACGACGAAAAAATCGTGAAGCTGAAGAAGAGGTAAAAAGAGCAAATGAAAGGATGAAAATAACACGACAATTAATGCGAAATCACTATAATTCCCAGAAGCTTCTGCAGACTATCCAAAAAACTGGTCTATTTGAAATTCTATGTTGACCAGAAACTATTAGTGTGCAACTGATTATCAATGAGTTAACTGTGAGATTTATAGTAATTCTAATCTATGGAATATTTTACATTCACTTTTATAACACACACTTGGTGTCTTAACTTACTCTATGCACAACACATTCCTCGGTTATGTCATAGTAAATAAACACAAAAGCATACCACTGACTGATTTGAACTATGGGTTAAGCCTGAACACATAAAAAATTACAGGGTACAATAACTGCATAAACCTCATCTAGTTTACTAGTTTCTTGGCCGGTCCCGAGCCCGGATATGGAGAGAGGGTTGGGGCATGGGACTAGCAAGCCTACACCACAGAGGCTAGCGAGTTGCCAGTCAGCCGATGTGTCTTTCACAGATGACAGCAAGAATAAGAATGGGACGTGGAATGCACGTACAATGTACGAGACTGGCTTGGAAGGCTGTCCAGGTAGTTAACGGAATGCGAAGATATGGCATGCAAGTACTGGGTATCTGCGTGAGCAGTTGGAATAGATGAGGAGTGTCAAATTGTCAAATGGAGAGTCAGCAATCTACTCCGGTCTGGTCACACAGATCACAACCACGAGCACACTGAGGCAGTGAGTGGCTGTCATGAAGTCACCAGTGGCAGCCAAAGCCCTAATCCAACGAGAACCAATTTCCTCCTGCAGGATCATGACAGCGAGATTCAACTCAAAAGGAAGTAAGTAGGGAAGGGAGGAAGGAAGGTTACAATTACCATGCAATGCCAAGCACAGTGATACAAACAACCAAGCGGAACAATAGGAGAAGAACAAAGATTTCGACAGACAACTACAAACAGCAAGGGACAACATCCCGAATGGTGACATCGAAATCCTTATGGAAGATATGAATGCCAGCAGAACTGGCGCAGATAATACGGGAGGAGAACTCATCATGGGTCGAGAGGCTCTCCGTCGTTGAAGTGAATGACAACTGAGAAATTTCCGCAGACTTCTGCACTTTCAATCATTTCGTGATCGGAGGCAGCGTCTACAAGCATAAGGATATACACAAGGCCAGTGACATGGATTTCGCCTGACGGACTAACCGCAAACCAGACAGACTTCATCGCAATGCTGCGGGCAGTGTCCAAATATTTACCAACCTCATTCAACAGCTGGTTATATAACAATGCCACCTGTCAGGTGATCCACAACGGAAAAGTCAGCGAGGCGGTCGAAGTGAATACAGGAGTAAGAAAAGCTAGCTGCCTGCCTATTATCACCGATGATATTCGTAATTGTGGTGGACTGGATTATGTGGAAGACTGTGTATGGGGAGCGAGGAGACAGTAGTACTCTGGACCACCGATGAGAAGATTCTACAAGAAGATCTGGATTTCGTGGGTGGATGATTTATGTCCCATGTTACACAGACTCGAAGATCGACAGGCAAAACCTGGCAGAAGAGACTGGCAGCGACAACTGGACTCCAGGTGAACATAGAGAAGACTGAGGTGATGAAGATACCTAGCCAACCACAGCAATAACAACAACAACAACCAGCACCAGTCACCATCAATGGGAGAGATTTAACAGAGGTTACTTCCTGCCTTCGCTTATTTACGAAGCATCGTTTCAACCACAGGCAGTCGCAACGGATGAAGATGTCACAGCCAGCCAACCAGAATCGGAAAGGCAAGATACGCACGCTTTCGTCAATCTGAAAACAGTTTTGAAATCTTCTGCACTGCACTCCGCCTCAGCATAATGAACAAGATTCGGATTTCAACTCCAATGTGAAGTCAGTCAGTCAGTGCTTCTCTATGAGTCAGAAACTTGGACTGCGTGTCACAAAAAGGATATCCAACAGGTTACGGACTTTTATCAACAACTGTCCCCTTCCTTCCAAATTGAAGATAAAATGGCCAGTTAGAATTAGCAACAAGAAACTCTGACTAGGAACAAACCAACTAAGAGCCGATCGCTCAACAAATATGTAGGTGGGAATGGAGATGGATTGGGGACAAACTGAGGGGGCCGCCGAATGACAATGCAAGCTAGGCCCTTGAGTGGAATCCCACTGGAAAGCGTCGAGTGGGTCGTCAGTACGAGGTTGACATGGAGGAGATCCCGCGAGATGAGAGATTACAGGCGATCGCGGGCACCAGCTGAAGAGGACGGCAGAAAACAGAACAAAGTGGAGATGTGTTGTTGAAGCCCTATGTTCCACTCGGAACCGAAAGGAATAATAATTATTAGTGCATAATATACACCCTAGTCCTCAACTGGAACGATTTACACTTTCCACTCCACACCTTGTTTGGCGAGTGATAGTAACGCACTACTTAACTCAGCATGATTTACTACTAGTCAAAAATCCCACGACCGAAAGCTGCTACCTTGACGTGGTGGTCGGACTTGAACACCGCAATGATCCAACAAGCTATACTGGCTGAGACTTATGTCACTTGAGGTCCTACCATGCCAGAAAGGTTGTTTGGATAGTGGTTAGACAAAAAGCAGTTACCCAATCCAATGCCATGACTCAAAGTAAATCACAAAATATCATGCCGGATCGGTCGGGGCCTGGATTAACAACGACCGCGCTTCCTGCTGCCGTGTCACAGGGCAGAAATGATAAATATGCTACTGAGACACACCAAATGAAAAAGAACAAACAAAAACAGGCCGCGTGTGACCGGCCTCAAGCAGTTGTCCCCTGGGCTCTGCAGTCACGCAACCAACTTCCACGGTGTGGGCAGCCGGGAAGCAAAAATCGCCCTCACAATCCGAAATGCACACGAAACCTCTCTAATCCTCACTCATCTTTGTCTCCATCTTCATCTCTATTATCCTGCCTTCCTTCTACTGATAGCTCTTCACTTCCTCTTCACTCTGTGTGTACTGAAAACGATGGAAGCCAGAAGGCCACCACCGATAGTCTCCTAAAGCCACGCCACCAATTTCATATAGGGGCATTTAATGTTAGGACACTCTGCCAAATAGGACAACAAGCATCACTAGCCAAGTCTCTGCCATCCCGAGCCATTGATGTATGTTGTGTTTCAGAAACACGCATACAAGACCCAAGTGTGGTTATTCACCTAACCCCACCTGGCCAACAGGATGAATCTGCAAAATTCACCTTGAGGGTGTCAGGAGATGCCACAGCTAGCTCACGAGGATTAGTTGGTGTTGGGATAGCTTTGAGTACTAGGGCAGAAAAGACATTACTTGACTGGATCCCGGTAGATAGCCGAATGTGTGCTGTCCGTCTGAACGGATCAGTGAGAAGGAGAAAGGACTGCACTACTCACCGATGCCTTTTCGTAATCTCCGCCTACGCCCCCACTAACTGCAGTTCGGATGAAACGAAGGATGAGTTCTACCAAAAGCTGTCTAGTTTGCTGCGAAAGGCTAAACGCTCAGATATAGTCGTTCTAGCTGGTGACTTTAATGCTCAAGTAGGGAAATTGTGTCAATCTGAGAAGGATGTCGGTGGCACCTATGGAGTTCCGTGCCAGCGAACCGACAACGGTGACCGTCTCCTACAGTTCTGTTCAGATAATCATTTGTTTCTTGTAAGCACTAACTTCAAACACAAGGAGAGACACTGTTTGACCTGGCGACCCCCATCATCAAACCAACGCTGGACACAAATAGACCACATAGCAATAAGCTATCGTTGGCGTGGGTCGGTAGGAGACTGTCGATCCTTCTGTAACACGTGTGTAGATACTGATCACGCACTGGTCCGCGCTGGTGTGTGCTTACGACTGAACGGTCGTAGGAAACAACTAGCGGTAAACCCATCACGTCCCCAGCTCGATCAGGAAACTAAGTCCCTATTTGAGGAAGAACTAGCTAAACACATATCTGAGTTCAACAGCTGCGCTCACCCTGAAGAAGCCTGGAAGAATATTCAGTCAGCCATAGATACAGCTGTAAAAGCTGTGAATAAGGTTAATCCAAAGGTGAGTAAAAACCATTGGATTTCGACTGCCTCATCCGAACTGATAGATGCTAGAAGACTTATTCCGGCGAGCTCCGAATTCAATGAGGAGCGAAAGCTGCACAAAAAGAAACTTACGAAAAGTCTCCGCAAGGACCGTGAACAGTGGTGGGTGACAAAGGCGAAAGAGATGGAAAAAGCATCGGCGATAGGCAACACTAGGCAACTCTTTAGACTCATCAGGGAAACGGGTGGGAGAAGGCAAATCATAAGTGAGACTATTTGTGAGAAAAATGGCTCCTTAATTAGCTCTCAGGATAGACGCCTTGAACTCTGGAAAGAACACTTTGAGGAACAATTTAACTTGCCTACAGCCACACTGAGTCTCCCCGCCATCCAGTACACACCCGAATGGGATATAGACACTGGCCCGCCGTCTGTAAGTGAGGTCACAAAAGCTATCTGTAATCTGAAACGAGGAAAAGCGGCAGGACCCGACGAAATTATTCCGGAGGTTTAAATATGAGGGTGACATACTAGTATATAGTTTAACTAAGGTACTAGGTAACGTCTGGGAATCAGAGACGGTTCCATCAGACTGGAGTAAGTCACTTATTATACCAATATTCAAAAAGGGAGACAAGTCCTCATGTGATAATCATAGAGGAATCAGCCTGACGAACAGTCTCTAAAATCCTAGGCTCAGTAATCATGAACAGACTAAGCAGAACTCGGGAGGAACAAACGAGGGAAAATCAAGTGGGCTTTAGGCCAGGTAGAGGGTGCATAGATCATATCTTCACTCTCCGACAGATCCTAGAACATAGACACACGTTTAGGCGTCCAACAATTGCCATATTTCTTGACTTGAAGGCGGCCTTCGACTCCATGGATAGAGAGGTACTATGGCAATGTTTGACTGTGAAGGGAGTGCCAAGAAAGTACATTGCACTAATCAAGGCACTCTACTCAAACTCACGTGGCTGTGTAAGGGCTTATGGGGAATTGTCATCTGAATTGATAACAACCAGTGGTGTCCGTCAAGGATGTCCACTTTCCCCCATTCCTGTTTAACTTCATCATAG